CCTGGTTCCTGATCTGAGTGGAAATGATTTCAATTTAACTCCATTCAATACAATGTTGGCTGTAGGTTTGCTGTAGATGGCCTCTATCAGTTTAAGAATCATCTGGCCCTCCTTTAAGCCTCATGCTTTGTGTGACTGCTGTGCTCTTGCGTGTTAATAAATTTGTGTTTTTATTTCTAAATTTGTCACTTTTTATTTCTGCCAGTTGTCAGTTTATTTTATAGACTCAAATTCTCAAACCTTCAGGGGGCAGAAAAAATTCCCTGCACCCTACACTAATAGATCTTCTTAAGAGAATTTTCACAACCAAAATGCTTGTTAGTTCTGTATTAGGAAAAAAATTTAAGTCAAGATGGACTTAAAATGGAGCATCTTTCACTCCATTAGAAAACAGGGACACAGAGAAGAAAAGAAACAGAGGCGGCCTCACAGAAAATGGATATTTATAGATATCCAGACTTGTAAGTTTAACTTCCTAAAGTGGATGGACCTAACATTTAGAAGTAGGGGTTAGAAGGTCACATGCCTGCTCATTTCTCAATGTCAAGTTAGCGATGATGTCTAAACCAGTAACGTTGGCTTGGTGACCATAGCCCAGTGGTTACAGCACCAGCCACATACACCAAGGGTGGCGGGTTCGAACCAGCCCAGGACAGCAAAACAACTGCAACAAAAAAATAGCCAGGCATTGTGGCAGGTGCCTATAAGTCCCAGCTACTTGGGAGGTTGAGGCAAGAGAATCGCTTAAGCCCACAAGTTGGAGATTGCTGTGAGCTGTGATTCCACAGCACTCTATCGAGGGCAACAAAGTGAGACTGTCTCAAAAAAATAAAAGAAACAAGGAAAAAAAAAAACAAACAGTAATGTTACTTCCCCCAAAGGTGAGCTGGTGCCCTACAGACCTAAGAGCACCAGAAAATGTGTACATGCAATTTATATCCTTGTGTTCTATAATGAAGAGGAAAAACAGTTAAGCTGTTGGACAAAGATTTTTATCTACTACCTTGGCTAACATCCTTCTTTTTCTCCCACTTGGAATTTAAATATATTCATAAGTATCGCTTTTTATTTGCCTCAAGTGTGTCAGCGTAACGTGAATGCTAACTCATGATCCACTAATATTTGAAGCAATCTTATCAAGAGACCTTTGCTATACTGCAATTTAATCCAATGTTACAGAAAAGAATAATCAACATTAAATTGTTGTAACAGAGAGATTTTGGTGTTCAGCATCAGACAAACCTGCATTAAAATTTCCACTTTGTCTCTTCCTCCTAGTGTTTTCCTGGGTGTTACCTGCCCTCTCTGAAGGTCAGTATCTCTGCGTGTGAGATGGGTGATACAATAGCTACTGTATATGCTTATTGTGAGGCCATTTGTGAAGGTCTTGGGACAATCATGTAGTGCCCTATTAATGACAGTTGCCTTTCCCCACTTTCAAGAAAATTTACTTCTGAGAGGTTTGTTAATGTCCTTTTTCTTTCATTTTAAAAACCATATATAGTTGTAACCCCTGTTTTTATATGGGATGGTTTTCCTTTTTGTCCCCTTCAGTACTTCCTTTCTCACTTACTCATGACCTTCTGTTAGTATTTGCCTTTTCATAAGTCATCTAATACACAATCGCAGTATTAGAAAACCTTTCCTTTTAAAATCCCCCATTTGAAACATTTAGAGTCATATTTCCCCCGGTTTTGCCCTGTAATGAAGAATGCCCTTTGGCTGTTTATGGACGACTTACACTTCTCCTATCCATGGAGCTTCTTCATGACCAGGAAGGATGGCAGTAAAGGTGTAATACCAGATGCAAGGGTAGACATGAAAGGGGGAAATGTATTTTCAAAGCCAAATATAAAACATTTAGAAGAAGGTTAGAGCTTCTGGACATTTGTGGCATTGAGGGGGAGGTTCTATTTTGCAAATGCCTGGTCCATTGCTTCACATCTACCTCTTCATTCTTCTCCAAGGAGGCTCTTCCAAGCAGGTTCATGCTTGGCTCACATCACATGCTGTCCTTTTCGAGGGAGAAAGGTCCTTCAGATCAGTGGGAAGGATGGCCCTCGGAGTTAACCAGGTCAGAAACTAGTCTGTCTGAAAGATCCTGCTCAGAAGGATCCAGTCACCATCCTATTCAATCTAACACACTTCAACTCTAGTTTAGCCCAGGCTGCCAGAGACTATCTATTAATAGAGGCATGGAACAGAATCTAGACTAAATATAAAGTGCGGGGCTCTCCAATGGTGTGTCAGCTCACTGCTGGATGTCCTTGAAGCGCTGAAGGTCTACTTTTGTCAAAACCGAAGTCACTCCTTTCATAGTGAATATCTGCTAGCAGATGTCTGAGGTTAACGAGGACGCCAGGGTAAGGATGGAGCTGCTGGGCTGCCTACCACCCCTGTGATGAGACGAGCCCAGAGGCAGGAACAAAGATGGCTTGCTTATTTTGGTCATAATTTTGTTGCTCTTTTATGAGAAGCCAGTGCAAATATAAATATTACAGACTAGTAATTCATTTATTCCATAAATATCTGTTGAATGTTTCACTATGTACTTACACTGCTCTAGAAGCTAAGGATACAACCATGAGCAAAGTCCAGGATATGTGCCTTCCTTGAGCTCATAGTC